AAATGTGTGCTACATAATTTTAATTTAATATGATGAGGAAAAATTGGCTCTGGTGTAAGAGATGAGCTAAATCATGTAGAAAGTGATAATCAGCTAAATCAACCGAGTACATAATGTACAGTACAGAAGTATTTGTATACATAACAGTCATACAAAGCGTACAATATACGTAGACTTACTATACGATAACCTCAAACTGAGTACAAAACCGAACGTATTACTACTGACGAAGTACAAGTTCACAGAGTTCATTTACTGAAGAGCTGGAGGAGAAAAAAACATCCCAGTGGATTGGTGTGACAAGGGAAAAACACACTGAGTGAAGTGAATGAAAACTCAGGCTATTATAATCTTGGTCATCCAGTCAGCTGATGAGCAGAGATTAGTAAAAAAAACAGGCAAACAATCCGGCTCCATTGTTTGGTCTGCAGATATAAACAGCCCAGGCCATTATATAAAGGCTCCGGATAGCAACCAGTGATGAGCTGCTCTGTAAAACACAGGAAACACTGTGAACAAGGATCTGTTCCACATGATGCGTGTGTGTGTGTGTGTGTGTGTGTGTGTGTGTGTGTGTGTGTGTGTGTGTGTGTGTAGGGGGAGTACAGAAGGAGAAAAAAATGCCAAGGGTCTGAAAGGGAAGTTCATCTGTGGACATGGAGTGTGTGTTTATATTATTATTGTGTGTGTGCATGATTACATGTTTGTGTGTGACATGTTGCTAACAGCGTATGTCACCCTAATTATCTGTGGTTCCATATATATCATCATATAGATGTATATATATACTTGCATGTATTTATCCAGATGTATACAACACTGTAACTCTGAAAACATTGAAGAAGCCTCAGCCTATTTTGTAGTTTGCTTGTTATATACGTGTTTTTATATATATTTTTTTAAACTTTGTGCCGTTTTCTCTTTTTTCTTCGTTGTTAGAATGTTGTTATGTGATCATCTGGCCTAAAACAAACTATTAAATGGGTTATTCACAGAGTAAGCCTCCATGAATCTCCTTTCCCATATTATCAAATGGATTATCCAAATTATAGTAGAAATATCACAATACCATTTTTCCCTCCGGATACTGCTTCAAATACTTTGACACATCGGCCATCACATATACAAAAGAAAAAACTTACATTAAAGATGTAGTTTCATAACAACGCCAGAGGAATCCAATGGATTATTATTGTTTTAAGAAACTAGATGCAACCCTAAGAGAGAAAAATGTTTCCTGACCCAAAGAGATGATGTATTGATAACAGAGAAACCTCTTCCGCAGTGTCTCAAATATATTCTGTTTATTTTGCATCATTTTGACAATGAGCTTTTCCACTGTCCTGCAGGTCCACACCTGTCAGGTTGATTATAGTCTCACTATCAAATGCTCCCAACACAGAAGAATATATGTGCGAGGAACAGAACGCTCCTGCTGGGGGAACATGCAGACCTGCTAACTCCTCACTGCTGTGTGTGCCGGCTGATGGGTGCTCTTTGTTCAGGGATGGATTATGTTTCGTTGCTACGTTGACCTTAGCTGAATGTCACCGGGCATCTCCTGTCCGATACTGACTGTGCACATGCTGACCCTGCAGCACCACTCACCAGATCGATACATCCTCTGCTCGTGTTTGGACTCTGCAGTCAATGTGTGTGTGCGAGAGAGATCCTGTACTTCTATAAAAGGCAATAAATGTCCTCAGAAGGACAAAGAAGCACATCCTTCAGACTGTGGCTGCGTTATATAGCTTTATTTAGGATGTATACTTTAAAAAAAAGGCCTCACAAACAGAATGTATGTGTGTTTGTCAGTAATTGTGTTGCCTGCTGAGAGCAAACTGACAAATGAAATGTGATTGACCCATTCAGCAGATGAGGCCTTCAAACTGGTGCATGTGCCTCGACCTCCAGAGCATCATACGAGAGGACATAAATGAAAGTCTCTAACCTGTGACACGGTCCACACTAACACATCTTCTTTTAAATGTTTTATTTAAAAACTAAAAGGATCTCTGTTCAGACGAGCTCTGCATCAGCAGTAACCTCCGTCCATTCAAACACACCTGAAGATAAACATCACGCAACCATTCACATACACTGCACACGTGTGCGTCGGTGTAAACAGGAAGCAGGTTGTCTTTTCTACAGTTGGTTGCTTAATTACAGACAATACTACCAACACAGAACAACGATGGTGAAAAGTAAGAGCATAAAAATATCTTCTTGCACCGTCGACGAGGTGTCGCCGACAGTAACTGTTAGCAGCATTTTGTATTCACCGCTGGTCATCGAGTCATGACAGATAAAACCCAGTTACCAGTAATAGGTGAGCCGCAAAGTTCTCAAACAAAAACGGAGCCCGCAGCTTTCTCAAACTTATTAAGAGCTTGAAAACGCATGAACGTAGCAACAGAGTGGATATAGTCACAGGCAACACTGGCATGGCACCGATGACCCATGCAAAGGTCTATGGTTGACCCTTAAGTGGGATTACTTACTAACTTATATCCCAGACTACACAATTTATGTGTACTTTCATATAAATATGTTGAAAACACCCCCCCATTTGTTCCTGTGAAAACGGTGTGGTTGAAACGCTCGGCCAACCAGATGTGCGAAACACACATCTGCTGAAAACTGAGTTGAAACAGAATGAGAGAATGAAAGGAGCAGAATGGAAATAGCTGAATTTATGACCAAAAATAAAATGTGGATAAGGTAAAAAGAAAAATGTGAGGAGCTGTGGCGTGTTGGTATTAGATCTAAAGGTGGGTGGTGGTAGTTACACTGCTGCACCTTCTACGCGACACAAAGGGTTTTAAGGAGTGTCTCTCATTTCCTGACCCTGTCTTACTTCTATCGTCAGGCTTTTAGTACAAATAAGAAAAACCACAGCACACAAGCTAGCAGATAACACAATGATGACTTCATTCCAGTGATGTATTTAAAACTTAAATAGAAGTGAATACATCGATTTTGCTCATAGCTGTTGGAAGTTTAAGTCTGGGTACTAATGTTTATTAGCCTCTGTGTATTAGCATCAGCTCTCATTAACATTGATTAAAAACTGAATATGTGTCAAGAAATCAGTGAAAATCTTCATGTTTTCTTCCAAAGCAGCTGAAATGTGCATTTCCATGTGCTAGCAAAACATCGGCTGGAGGCCTTTCATAGCATGTTTTGCCTTGGACGCGTGAGCTAGCTAAATGAGCTAGCTAAAAAAAAACATGTCAAGAATGCAAAGGTGTTTGCAACGTGTTTCTGCATCTGCTTGTGTTTCCAATTATCTGGTGCTTTATATAATTTCCCCTTCATGTTCTGTCAAGTAGGTGAAGAGGGTTTCTCCACATACACATTTTAAATAACGTAGAAACACATAGTTAAAGATTTAAATGGGTTTTAAACCTGTAATTTAGCCTCTTAATGAGCTTTATTGT